GACTTTGGGGTGACTCCCTGGGTTTTTGGGGTCCCCGGTCTCATTTCTGGGGTCCCTGAGCCTGTTTTAGTCCCCCAGGGGTGTTCCCGGAGCCGCAGCAGGACCCGGTGATCGCCATCGCGGCCGTGGCGCTCCGCCAGGGGGCGCGCGAGCCCTTCCTGCGCGCGGTGTTCACGCTGCTCCCGTGCGCCCCCTTGCGGGGCGCGGCCGTGCGGAGCTTCGACACCGAGCGGGACCTGCTGCAGGTGGGGGGAATTTTGGGGGGTTTGGGGGACATGGGGGGTTGGGGGGTCTAAAGGGGTCAGGTGGGGTGGGGGAGTGTGGGGAAGTTTGGGAGGGTTTGGGGTGGTTTGGAGCGAGTTTGGAGGGTCTAGGGGGTACCTGCAGGTTGGTGGGGATTTTGGGGACCTGGGGGGTTGGGGGGTCTAAAGGGGACCGGGGGGTGTGGGGGCAGTTTGGGATGTTTGGGGTGTTTTGGAGCGAGTTTGGGGGGTCTAGGCGGGGTACCTGCTGCAGGTTGGGGGATTTTGGGGGGACCTGGGGGGGTTGGGGGTCTAAAGCGGGGCCAGGGGGGTGTGGGGGCAGTTTGGGAGGGTTTGGGGTGGTTTGGAGCGAGTTTGGGGGGTCTAGGGGGTACCTGCTGCAGGTGGGGTGGGATTGGGAGTTACACGGGGGATCTAAAGGGGGTTTGGGAGGGTCTGGGGGCGATGTGGGTGGCACCTGGGGGGTTTGGGGGTCTGAGGGGCTCAACAGGATGGTCTGGAGGAGGGTTTGGTGTCCCTGGGGGTTTTGGGGTCCCCTGACCCCCTGTGCCTCCCCAGTCCTGGGCCGAGTTCGTGCGGATCGTGGACCCCGACGTGATCACGGGGTACAACATCCACAACTTCGACCTGCCCTACCTCATTGAGAGGGCCAAGGTGCTGCAGGTGAGACCCCGGGACCCCAGGGACCCCCTGAACCCCAGAGACCCCACAGACACAGGGACCCGGAGACCCCAGGACCCCTGAGACCCCAGAGACCCCACAGCCCCCACCTGCCCTACCTGACAGAGAGGGCCAGGGGCTGCAGGTGAGACCCCCGGGCCCCCTCACCTGTCTCCCCGTGCCCCCAGACCCCCAGGCCCCTGAGGAGCTCCCCAAGCACCCGAGGAGCCCCCAGACCCCTGACCTGTCCCCCACACCCCGTGCCCCCCAGGTGGAGTCGTTCCCGTACCTGGGCCGGGTCCGGGGGTCCCCTCGGGGGTCCGCGACGCCGCCTTCCAGTCCCGCCAGCTCGGCCGGAGAGAGGGCAAGGTGGTCACCACCCCGGGCAGGGTCACCCTGGACATGCTGCAGGTCAGGGGGGATTTGGGGAGGTTCTGGGGGGATTTGGGGGAGTTCTGGGGGGATTTGGGGGCACAGGGAGGCAGGGTCACCCTGGACATGCTGCAGGTCAGGGGGATTTGGGGGGCACAGGGAGGGCAGGGTGGTCACCACCCCAGGCAGGGTCACCCTGGACATGCTGCAGGTCAGGGGGATTTGGGGGGGTTCTGGGGGATTTGGGGGGCACAGGGAGGGCAGGGTCACCCTGGACATGCTGCAGGTCAGGGGGGGATTTGGGGGGGTTCTGGGGTGGTCCTGGGGAGGGTTTTGGGGTCCTGGGGTTTTGAGGTGCCCCGAGGTGGTTTTGGGGTGCCCCAGGGTGGGTTTTGTGGTGCCCCAGGGTGGGTTTCGGGGTCCCTGAAGGCGGTTTTGGGGTGCCCCAGGTGCTGCTGAGGGAGCACAAGCTCCGCTCCTACTCCCTCAACGCCGTCAGCGCCCACTTCCTGCACGAGCAGAAGGAGGACGTTCCCCACGGCATCATCACCGACCTGCAGGTCTGGGGGGTCCCTGAGGGGTCCCTGAGGGGGTTTGGGGGTCCCCAGGACTGTCCCAGCCATGATAATCCTTGTCCCTGATGTCCCAGTGATGTCCCCAATGTGCCATTGATGTCCCAAATGTCCCCCCAGAATGGTGACCCCCAGACTCGCCGCCACCTCGCCCTGTACTGCCTGAAGGACACTGAGCCCGTGTCCCCAGTGGTGTCCCCAATGTCCCAGTGATGTCCCCAATGTCCCCAATGGTGTCCCCAATGTTCCCAATGGTGTCCCCAATGTCCCCAATGTCCCCAACGGTGTCCCCAATGTCCCAATGGTGTCCCTGTTAATGTCCCCAGAACGGTGACCCCCAGACGAGGCGCTGCCTCGCCCTGTACTGCCTGAAGGACACTGAGCCCCTGTCCCCAGTGGTGTCCCCAATGTCCCAATGATGTCCCCAATGTCCCCAATGTCTCAATGGTGTCCCTGTTAATGTCCCAGTGATGTTTCCAATGTCCCCAGTGGTGTCCCCAATGTCCCAGTGGTGTCCCTGTTAATGTCCCCAGAATGGTGACCCCCAGACCCGCCACCGCCTCGCCCTGTACTGCCTGAAGGACGCTGAGCCCCTGTCCCCACTGGTGTCCCCAATGATGTCCCCAATGTCTCAGTGATGTCCCCATTGCTGTCCCCAGAACGGTGACCCTCAAACCAGACGTCGTCTCGCCCTGTACTGCCTGAAGGACGCGGTGCTGCCGCTGCGGCTCCTGGAGCACCTGATGGTGCTGGTGACGCAGGTGGAGATGGCCCGGGTGACAGGGGTGCCCCTGAGCTACCTGCTGACCCGGGGACAGCAGGTCAAGGTGGTGTCACAGCTCCTCAGACAGGTGAGGGGACATTGGGGACACCTGGGGGGACAGGGGGGTGACAGGGGTGCCCCTGAGCTACCTGCTGACCCGGGGGCAGCAGGTCAAGGTGGTGTCACAGCTGCTCAGACAGGTGAGGGGAGCACCTGGGGGACAGGGGGGTGACAGGGGGACACCTGGGGGGACAGGGGGATGATAGGGGGACACCTGGGAGTACAGGGGACACCTGGGATGATAGAGGACACCTGAGGGGACAGGAGGATGGAGGACACCTGGGGGTACAGGAGGGTGACAGGGGTGCCCCTGAGCTACCTGCTGACCCTGGGGACAGCAGGTCCAGGTGGTGTCACAGCTGCTCAGACAGGTGAGGGGACACTGGGGGGACAGGGGGGGCACAGGGTGGGCACAGGGGGACACCTGGGGGGGACAGGGGACACCTGAGGTATCTGCTGACTCAGGAACAGCAGGTCCAGGGTGTTGTTGGGGTCTTTCCTGGGGGTATTTGAGGTGTTTGGGGGTGGTTTTTGGGGGCGTGTTGGGTTGTTTTTGGGGGAGGTTTCAGAGTGGGTTTCAGAGGGGTTTTGGGGGGTTTGGGGCGTTTCAGGGTGGGTTTGGGGGATGGGGGATTTTGGGGTGGGTTTTGGGGTGTTTCGTGGGTTGGGGGAGGTTTGGGGTCAGGTCAGTTTGGGGAGGGGTTTCAGGGTGGGTTTGGGGGTGTTTCAGGGTGGGTTTTGGGGTGTTTTGGGGGTGTTTTGGGGTGACTCCCCTCTCCCCAGGCCATGCAGGAGGATTTGCTGCTGCCAGTGGTGAAACCTGAGGGGGGGGAGGACTTCGAGGGGGCCACGGTCATCGAGCCCCTCAAGGGGTGAGTGGGGACCCCAAAACCCCTCCTGGGACCCCCTCAAACCCCCTGGGTCTTCCCCCCAGGCCCCCTGGGACTCCCCAAACCTCACCCAAACCCCCCCTGTGCCCCCAACCCCTGTGCCAAACCCCCCCTGTGCCCCCCCAGGTACTACGACGTCCCCATCGCCACCCTGGACTTCTCGTCCCTGTACCCGTCGATCATGATCGCCCACAACCTGTGCTGCACCACCCTACTCCCCCCTGGGGGGACACAGAGATATGGGTACACTGGTTATACTGGTTTATACTGGTTATACTGGGTTATACTGATTATACTGGGATCGATTGGTTGTACTGGGTTATACTGGTTGTACTGGGTTATACACACTGGCATCGCCCACAGCCTGTGCTACACCACCCTGCTCCCCCCTGGGGGTCCCCAGCGCTTTGGGTATGCTGGTTATACTGGTTTATACTGGGAGAGACTGGGGGACTGATTGTGTCAGGTTATATGTGGTTATATTGGTTATACTGGGGTGGACTGGATTATGTTGGTTCTGTGGAGTTGTACTGGTTGTACTGGGTTATGCTGGGAGGGCACTGGGAGGGGGATTGGGAGGACCTGGGAGGAGGACGGGGGGTCACTGGAATGGACTGGGGGGTCACTGGGATGGACTGGGGTCACTGATGGACTGGGGGATCACTGGGAGTGCTCTGGGGTACACTGGGATGGACTGGGGTCACTGTGACTCCCTGACCCCCTTTGTGTCCCCCCCAGGCTGGCCCCTCCGAGTTCATCCGGACCCCACGGGGCAGTCTCTTCGTGACCCCGACGTGCGCAGGGGGTCCTGCCCCGCGTGCTGCAGGGGCTGCTGGCGGCCAGGAGCAGGTCTGGGGGCTTTGGGGGCTTTGGGGGTCCCTGGGAGGTTTGGGGGTGTCTGGGGGTTGGGGTCCTGCCCCGTGCTGCAGGCTGCTGGCGCCAGGAGCAGGTCTGGGTCCTGGGGTGTTTGGGGGTCCCTGGGGGCTTTGGGGTTTTGGGGTCCTGCCCCGCGTGCTGCAGGGGCTGCTGGCGGCCAGGAGCAGGTCTGGGGGGGCTTTGGGGGGTCCTGTTAGGGGGTCCTGGGGGTGCTTTGGGGGTCCTAAGGGGTGTTTGGGGGTTCCTGGGGGTTTTGGGGTCCTGTGGTCTTCGAGGTTTTGAGGTCCAGGTGCCAGGTGTCTCTCTGCTGTCAGGGTGAAGGCAGCCCTGGCCCAGGAGCAGGGGTGGGTTTGGGGCTCAGGTGAGCTCAGGTGAGGTTCAGGAGATCTCAGGTGAGCTCAGGTGAGCTCAGGTGTGTCAGTGATGTTCAGGTGAGCTCAGGTGAGGCTCAGGAGAGCTCAGGTGAGCTCAGGTGAGGTTCAGGTGAGCTCAGGAGTCCCTCCCCGCAGGGTGAAGGCGGCCCTGGCGCAGGAGCAGGACCCGGCGCGCCGGCAGGTGCTGGACGGGCGGCAGCTGGCACTGAAGGTCAGCGCCAACTCCGTGTACGGCTTCACCGGGGCACAGGCGGGAGGCTGCCCTGCCTCGAGGTATCACAGGTGAGACTCACCTGGGCACACCCAACACACCTGGGCACACCTGGGCACACCTGGGACACACCCAACACACCTGGGACACACCCAACACACCTGGGACACACCCACTGCACCCCCCCATTCACTGGGGCACAGGCGGGGAGGCTGCCCTGCCTCGAGGTATCACAGGTGAGAGGCACCTGGGCACACCTGGGACACACCTGGGACACACCTGGGACACACCTGGGCACACCTGTCCCTCACCTGTCCCTCTCCTGTGCCCCCATCAGAGCGTGACAGGGTTCGGGCGCCAGATGATCGAGAGGACGAAGCAGCTCGTGGAGGAGAAGTACGGGGGGCAGGGGGGGCACCCTGCCCAGGTAAAGGTGAGGGGATGGGGGGGGGGCACCCTGCTAGGTAAAGGTGAGGGGGCAGGGGGGCACCTGCCAGTAAGGTGAGGCAGGGGGCTTGGGGGCACCTGCCCAGGTAAAGGTGAGGATGGGGGCTTAGGGGGGCACAGAGGGGGCTGGGGCACCTGCCGGTAAGGTGAGGGGGCAGGGGGCACGCTGCCTCAGGCACCTTTTGGGGTCCCTGATGCTGATTTTGGGGTCCCAGGTGGTCTATGGGGACACAGACTCCGTGATGTGACCCTGGGGGGTTTTGGGGTCCCTGATACTGATTTTGGGGTCATTAACAGTGTTTTTGGGGTCCCAGGTGGTGTACGGGGACACGGACTCCGTGATGTGCCGCTTGGGGGTGCCGTCAGTGGCCAGGGGGTTTTGGGGTGGTTGGGGGTTTTGGGGTCCCTGATGCCGTTTTTGGGGTCCGTGATGTCAGTTTTGGGGTCCCAGGTGGTGTACGGGGACACGGACTCCGTGATGTGCCGCCTGGGGGTGCCGTCGGTGGCCGAGGCCGCGGATTTGGGGCGCGAGGTGGCCTCGTGGGTGTCGGGGCATTTCCCGCCCCCCATCCGGCTCGAGTTCGAGAAGGTGCGGCCGGAGGACCCCAAAATGGGGGGGCAAAATATGGGGAGGGGTCCCAAAATATGGGGGTTCCCAAATATGGGGGGGATCCAAAATATGGAGGGACCCCAAAATATGGGGAGGGACCCCAAATATGGGGGGGGGTTCCCAAAATATTGGGAGGGGGGTCCAAAATATGGGGGGGTGTCCCCAAATCCAGGGGGAGGGTCCTGAGACCCCCCCAGGGCGTTTCCGTGTCCCTGAAGGGGTTCCCAGAGGGGTCTCTGGGGGGGGAGGTCCCCATGTCCCTAAAGGGGTCCCTGGGGGGGTCCCTGTGTGCCCACAGGACTTCTCTGGGGTGTCCCCAAATCCCAGGGGGGTGTCCCCTGACCCCCGGTGTGTCCCCCCCAGGTGTACTGGCCGTACCTGCTGATCAGCAAGAAGCGCTACGCCGGCCTCTGCTTCTCGGGGGGCCCGGGGACCCCCCCAAAACTCGACTGCAAGGGGCTGGAGGCCGTCAGGAGGGACAACTGTCCCCTGGCTGCCAACCTGGTCACCGCCTGCCTCCGCAGGATCCTCCTGCACAGGTGGGACCCCCAGGACGGGGGGAGACCCCCAGGGTTGGGGGAGGAACACCTGGAAAACTGGGGGGAGATAGAGGGGAAATTGGGGGGGAAACAGCCCCAAAATTGGGGGGTAAATGGGGACATGGGGGTCCCCAACCCAACCTGGTCACCGCCTGCCTCGGGAGGATCCTCCTGCACAGGTGGGACCCCCAAAACCCCCCTAGCCCTGTTTTTGCTCCCCAGGGACCCCCAAACCCCCTCAGACTCCCAAATTTGCCCCCGGGGACCCCAAACGCCCTCAGACCCCCATTTCTCCCCAGGGACCCCCGAGGGGGCCGTGGCCCACGCCCAGGACGTGGTTTGGGACCAAGGGACCCACTCCCCAGGACCCGAGGGCCTGGCCAAACGTGGGACCCCATTTCTCCCCCCAGGGACCCTGAGGGGGCCGTGGCCCACGCCCAGGATGTGGCTTGGGACCCCCAAACCCCAAAAAGGGACCCCATTTCTCCCCCCAGGGACCCCGAGGGGGCCGTGGCCCACGCCCAGGACGTGGTTTGGGACCCCCAAAGCCCCCCTGACCCCATTTTTGCCCCTCAGGGACCCCGAGGGGGCCGTGGCCCACGCTCAGGACGTGATCTCGGACCTGCTGTGCAACCGCATCGACATCTCCCAGCTCGTCATCACCAAGGAGCTCACCCGGGCGGCCTCGGCCTACGCGGCCCCACAGGCCCATGTCAGGCTGGCTGAGAGGTTTGGGACCCCAAAAACCCCAGTGGGAACCCCAAAAACCACCCTGGGAACAACCCTGAACCCAAAAACCCCAATGGGAACAACCCTGAACCCCAAAAACCACCCCTGAACCCCAAAAAACCCCCTGGAGCTCACCCGGGCGGCCTCGGCCTACGCAGCCCCACAGGCCCATGTCAGGCTGGCTGAGAGGTTTGGGACCCCAAAAACCCCAATGGGAACCCCAAAAACCCCAATGGGAATGACCCTGAACCCCAAAACCCACCCCTGAACCCCAAAAAAACCCCCTGGAGCTCACCCGGGCGGCCTCGGCCTACGCAGCCCCACAGGCCCACGTGCGGCTGGCTGAGAGGTTTGGGACCCCAAAAACCACCCTGGGAACCCCAAAAACTCCAATGGGAACCTCAAAAATCATCCCTGAAGCCTAAGAAACATCCCTAAACCCCAAAAACCACCCCTGAACCCCAAAAACCATCCCCAGACTCCAAAACCCCCAATGGGGAACCCCCTGAACCCCCAAAACCACCCTGGGAACAACCCTGAACCCCAAGGAGCCCAAGGGGAGCTCCGTTTTGGGGGGCATTTGATCCCATTTTTGGGGTGATTTATCCTATTTTTGGGGTGATTTATCCTATTTTTGGGGTGATTTATCCCATTTTGGGGTTGATTTATCCCATTTTGGGGTGTTTTTCAGGCTGAAGCAGCGGGACCCGGGCAGTGCCCCCTGAGCCCATTTTTGGGTGGTTTTGCGTTAATTTATGGTGTTTTTGGGTTAATTTATGGTGTTTTGGGGTTAATTTATCCCATTTTTGGGGTGTTTTTTCCAGGCTGAAGCAGCGGGACCCGGGCAGTGCCCCCGTGCTGGGCGATCGCGTCCCCTACGTCATCGTCAGCGGGGCCCGGGGGGAGGCCGCCTACACCCGGTCTGAGGTCACCCCAAGACCCCCCCAAACCCCCCTGTTTGCCCCAGGATCCCCCAAACCCCTCTAAAGCCCTCCCAACCCCCATTTCCCCCAGGACCCGGTGTACGCCCTGGAGCAGAACCTGCCCATCAACACCCGACCCCCAAACCCCTCTAGGACCCCCAAATCCCCCAAACCCTCCCAAACATCCCCAGGACCCCCAAATCCCCTAAACCCTCCCAGCATTTCCCAGGACCCGGTGCGCCCTGGCAGAACCTGCCCATCGACACCCGACCCCAAACCCCTCTAGGACCCCCAACCCCCAAACCCCTGTTTGCCCCCAGGACCCCCAAATCCCCTCAAAGCCCCCAAACCCCATTTCCCCAGGACCCGGTGTACAGCTGGAGCAGAACCTGCCCATCGACACCCGCTATTACCTGGAGCAGCAGCTCGCCAAGCCCCTCCTCAGGATCTTCGAGCCCATCCTGGGCGAGGGGAAGGCCCAGGGGGTCCTGCTGAGTGAGTGACCCCCGAGAGCCCAGAACTCACCCAGGATCCCAAAACTCACCCAGAACACCCCCAGGGACCCCAGAACAGCCCCAGAACCCCAAAAACTCACCCAGAACACCCTCAGGGACCCCAGAACAGCCCCAGAACCCCAAAAACTCACCCAGAACAGCCCCAGACCCCAAAAACCCCACAAAACACACCCAGGGAGGCCCAAAATCCCTATGGGGCCCACCCCCCTCCTCTGGGTTCTGGGGTGGGTTTGGGGTTCTGGGGGTTGGGGCAGTCTGTGGGTTTGGGGGGTTCTGGGAGTGTTTTGGGGTTCTAGGTGGGTTTGGGGTTGTCTGGGTGGGTTTTGGGGTGGGTTTGGGTTCTGGAGTGTTTTGAGGAGTTCTGGGTGGTTTTGGGGGTTCTGAGGGAGTTCTGGGGTTTCTGGATGGGTTTTGGGGGTTTGTGGGGTGTCTGGGGGGGTTTTGGGGGTTTTTGGGGCGCCCCCCGACCCCCCTTTCCCCACAGGGGGGGAGCACACGCGGTGCAAGACGGTGCTGACGGCGAAGGTCGGGGGGCTCTCGGCATTCGCCACCAAACGCAGCAGCTGCGTGGGCTGCAGGGCTGTGCTGTCACACCATGGTAATGCCCCTAAATCACCCCTAAATCACCCCTAAATCACCCCAAAAACACCCCTAAAATATCCCAAAAATAGCCCCAAATCCACCCCCTGCAGGGCCGTGCTGCAACACCACGGTAATGCCCCTAAATCCCCCTAAATCACCCCAAAATCACCCCAAAAACACCCCCAGAACCACCCCCTGCAGGGCCGTGCTGCCCCACCACAGTGAGACCCCTGAAATACCCCTAAATCACCCCAAAAATACCCCCAAGAATACCCCAAAAACACCCCCACAAAAACCACCCCAAATCACCCCCAAAACTACCCCAAAAGGCCCAACTGGGGGTCAGAGCCCCCCCAGGGTGGGTCAGACCCCCAAACCTCCCCAAAAAACCCCAAAACCCCCCCGGGTCCCCCCAGGTGCCGTCTGCGATTTCTGCCGCGAGCGAGAGTCGGAGCTCTACCAGAAAGAGGTGGGGGGGCCCCAAAATCCTCCTGGGGGGGCCCCAAATCCTCCTGGGGGGGCCCCAAAAACCTCCTGGGTAACCTCAAAATTCACTGGGGAGCCTCAAAATCCTCCTGGGGGGGCCCCAAATCCTCCTGGGTGAGGTCCTCGGGGGTCCCAAAATCCTTCTGGGGGTCCTAAAAATCCTTCTTGGGGGGGCCCCAAAATCCTCTTGGGGTGGGACTCAAAATTCACTGGGGAGCCCAAAATCCTCTTGGGGTCCCAAAATCCTCGTGTGGGGGTCCCAAAATCCTCTTGTGGGGGTTCCAAATTGACCCTGGGACCCCCCCTCCAAAAAGGTGTCTCAGCTGTGGGGGCTCGAGCGCAGCTTCTCCCGCCTCTGGACGCAGTGCCAGCGGTGCCAGGGGTCCCTGCTGCAGGACGTGCTGTGCACCAGGTGACCCCAAAACCCCAAAATCCCCCCTAAACCCCCCCAAAAACCCCCCCATAACCCCCTGACCTGCCAAACCCCTTATCTGAGACCCCTGACCCCAAAACCCCCCCCAGTGCCAGCGCTGCCAGGGGTCCCTCCTGCAGGATGTGCTGTGCACCAGGTGACCCCAAAACCCCCAAATCCCCCTAAACCCCCCAAAACCCCCCATAACCCCTGACTCCCAAACCCCTATCTGAGACCCTGAGCCCCAAACCCCCAGTGACAGCGGTGCCAGGGGTTCCTCCTGCAGGACGTGCTGTGCACCAGGTGACCCCAAAACCCCTTATCTGAGACCCCTGACCCCCAAAACCCCCAAACCCCCCAAAACACCCTATCTGAGACCCTGACCCCAAAAGCCCCCAGTGCCAGCGGTGCCAGGGGTCCCTCCTGCAGGACGTGCTGTGCACCAGGTGACCCCAAAACCCCAAATCCCCTAAACCCCCAAAAACCCCTGACCCCCAAACCCCCTATCTGAGACCCCTGAGCCCCAAAACCCCCAGTGCCAGCGCTGCCAGGGGTCCCTGCTGCAGGACGTGCTGTGCACCAGGTGACCCCAAACCCCCCAAATCCCCCTGTAACCCCTGACCCCAAAACCCCCAAAACCCCCTATCTGAGACCCCTGACCCCAAAAACGCCCCCCAGTGCCAGCGCTGCCAGGGGTCCCTCCTGCAGGACGTGCTGTGCACCAGGTGACCCCAAAACCCCTCTGAACCCCCTCCAACCCCCCAAATCCCCCTCAAGCCCCTCTAAACCCCCCAGTATCCCCAAATCCCCCAATTCCTAAACCCCCCAGTGACCCCCTGTGTCCCCCAGCCGGGACTGCCCCATCTTTACTGTCCCCAAATCCCCCCAGTGTCCCCAAATCCCCCAAATCCCCCTCAGTGTCCTCAAATCCCCCTAAAGCCCCCCAAATCCCCCCCAGCCGGGACTGCCCCATCTTTACTGTCCCCAAACCCCTCTCAGTGTCCCCAAATCCCCCTAAACCCCCAAACCCTCCCCAAATCCCCCAGTGACCCCAAACCCCTTTGGTGACCCCCCTGTCCCCCCAGCCGGGACTGCCCCATCTTCTACATGCGCCGGAAGGTTCAGAAGGACCTGCAGGCCCAGCAGGAGCTGCTCGGGCGCTTCAGGGACCCCGAGTGGTGACCCCAAAACCTTCAGGGACCCCCCAAAAAAAATAATTGGGGGGGGACCCCCCAAAATAGGGGGGTTTTGTTGTTTGGGGTTTTTTTTCTATGGAGAGTTTAATAAAAAGCAGATTTTTGGTGATTGGTGTGATGATGGGGGAAGGGTCAGTGGAGGGGGTCCACGGATTTTGAGGGTGGTCTCCTAAATGGGGGCAGACACCCAAAACCAGGGAGCCCAAAAATGGGGGGGAAGGGGTTTTTCAGACCCCACACCCCGTTTTTGGGTCAGCTGGGGGTTTCTTTTTGGGGAGAATTGAATAAAAAGCGGGTTTTTGGGAGCGGGGGGTCCCGGGATTTTTGGGGGGTCAAATTTGGGGGTCCCGAGGGGGGAAATTCCCGCCCCGGCGCTGGTTGGGGGCGTGGCCTCATGACTGGCACCCCCCTCCGCCAATCAGAGCGCGGCTCCACCGCCTCGCCCCACCCAGTGGGTGTGGCTTTGCACCTTTAACCTGATTGACAGCGCGGCACACCAATCACCGCTCCTCTGGGCGGTGGGCGTGGCAGGAGCGCGGAGCCCTCCAATGGGAGGGCGGGGAGGGAGGCAGGGCGGCCAATGAGAGGCCGCGGCGGGCGCGAGAGGCCCCGCCCCCCGTATAAAGGCAGGGGGCGGGGGCCGCGGCGCGCGCTCTCAAGATGGCGGAGGCGGCCAATTGTATCATGGAGGTGAGCGGGGAGGCGGGGGGAAAACGGGGCAAAACGGGGCAAAAACGGAGCTAAATCGGCACGAAACCGGGCCGGAACGGCGCGGAACGGGGCTCGGCGAGGGCAGGGCGGCGTTAAAAGGGTTAAACGGGGGCAAAACGGGGTTAAAGGGGGTTTGGGGGCTCCTCTGAGGGGGCTGGGGGGGGCTGAGGGGGCTCTGAGGGGTTCGAGGTGTCCGGGGGGCTCTGAGGGGTTAAACCGGCACAAAACGGTGATTAAATGGGGCTGGGGGGTTAAAGGGGCGGGGGGGCTCTGAGGGGCTTAAATGGGGCTGGGGAGGGGTGTGGGTGTCCTGAGGTGCCCGGGGGCTTTGAGGAGGCTCTGGGGGTCTTCAGTGGGGCTGGGGGTCTCTGGGGGGTTTATTGGGGCTGGGGGGTTATTTGGGCTGGGGGGCCCCAGTGGGGTTTGGGGGTCTCGGGGGCTCTAAAGGGGTCCCAGAATTGGGGCTGGGGGTGTCCCAGGGGGCTCTGAGGGGTCTGGAGGGGTCCCTGAGGTCCAGGAGGTTTTGGGGGTCTCGAGAGGGGCGGGGCGGCCCCACGCGCACGTGGGGAGGGGCCACGTGGCGGAGAAGCCACGTGGGGGTCCGGACCCCTCCCCACCCCCAAAAAACCCCCTCAGGACCCCCAAAAACCGCGGTGGGAACAAAGAAGGGGGCGGATGGGGCAGGGCTTGGCGTGATGGGGGCAGGGCCTGTCGCGACACGAGGGGGTGAGGTGAGGGGGCTGGGGAGGGACACAGAGGATCTGACTGCCCCCCAAAATTGGGGTCCTGAGACCCCCAAATCCCCCAAAACAGGGGTCCTGAGACCCCCAAAATTGAGGTTCTGAGACCCCCAAGCCTCCCTGCCCCTCCCCAGAATTGCAGTTCTGGCACCCCAAAGTTGGGTCAGACTCCCCCAAAATCAGGCTCTGGAGCCCCCCTGCCCCCAAATCAAGGTCCTGGGACCCCCTCCCAAAAAAATTGGGTCAAGACCCCTCAAACCTCCCTGCCCCCAAAAATTGGGTCAGGAGACCCCAAAACTGAGGCCCCAGCCCATTTAAACCCCAGCCCCATTTAAACCCCCCAGCCCCATTTAAGCCCCCAGCCCCATTTTAAACCCTCCAGCTGCATTTAAAGCCCCCAGCCCCATTTTGGGCCCCCAGGTGACTCCTCTCTCCTTCCTCTCTCCTAGACCTTTGTGGCCTCCTGGCGAGACAGGATGAGCCTCCAGACGCCACGGGAAGATGTGAATATCCTGCTGGGACCCCCAAAAACCCCCAGGGACCCCAAAATCCCTGACAAAACAGGGGATTAAAAAAACCCAAAATTCCCTCCAAAACCCCCAAAAAACCCAAAAACCCCAGCCAGGGACCCCAACCCCCCCAGGGACCCCTAAAACCACCCCCAAACCTCTGAAAAACAGGAGTTAAAAATCCCCGAAAAAAACCCACCGAGGGACCCCTAAAACCAACCCCAAACCCCTGAAAAAACAGGAGTTAAAAACCCCAAAAATTCCCCAAAAAAGCCCACCCAGAGACCCCCAAAACTCCCCAGGGACCCCAAAACTGCCCCAGAACCCCTGAAAAAATGAGATTAAAAACCGACCCCAGAGACCCCCAAAATCCCCCCAGGGACCCCTCAAACCCCTGAAAAAACAGGAGATTAAAAATCCCCAAAATTCCCCCAAAACCCCCTCCAGGGACCCCAAAACCCCCAGGGTCCCCCTCAAACTGCCCCCAAACCCCTGAAAAAACAGGAGCTTAAAAAAGCCAAATCCCCCTCCCAAAAAAACCCCAACCCCCAGGGACCCCAAAACCCCCAAAATCCCCCAAAACCTCCCTGGAGCTGCTGGGGATTTGGGAGGTCTCCCAAGGATTTAGGGGGCTTTGGGGAGTCTGAGGGCTCAGGGGGGCTCAGGTGGGATTTGGGGTGTCCTCTGGGGTCTCCCTAAGCCGTGACTTCCCAGGACCCCAAAATCCCCCAGGACCCCAAAATCCACTCCTTCCATCCCCTCTGTGGGGTTTGGGGTTTCTCCTGGGGATTTGGGGAGGTTTTGGGGCTCTAGGGGTTTTGGGGGCTCTGGGGTTTTGGGGGCTCTGGGGGTTTTAGGCTCTGGGGTTTGGGGGCTCTGGGGGTTCAGGGGGCTCAGTGGGGTTTGGGGGTGTCCCTGGGGTCTCCCATGCCTATGCCCTAGGTGCCGTCCCCAGGGAGGGCAGTGCCAAGCCCTGTGTGGGGCTTGGGGGTTTCTCCCCAGGTTTGGGGGTTGGGGGTTTGAGGGGTCTGGGGGTTTGGGGGGGCTCAGGGGGTGTCCCCGGGGGTCTCCCCAAGCCCTGTGCCCCCCCCCAGGTGTCGTGCCCCCCCGGGGAGGGCAGTGCCAAGCCCTGTGCAGAGGACATGACCTCCAAGGATTACTACTTCGACTCCTACGCGCACTTCGGCATCCACGAGGTACCAAAAACACCCCAAAACACCCCAAAACACCCCAAAATCTACCCTGGCACCCCCAAAACCATCCTGGCACCCCAAAACCAGCCCTGGGAGCCCAAAAACACCCCCCTTTCCCCCCCCAGGAGATGCTGAAGGACGAGGTGGGGTTGGGGGCTGGAGGGCTGGAGAGCCAGGGGCTCAGTTTGGGGTTCAGGTGATTCAGGGCTCTCGGGTGGCTTTGGTCTGTTTTAGGTGTTGACCCCGTTTTCCCCGCAGGAGATGCTGAAGGACGAGGTGGGGTTGGGAGGCTCAGGAAGTGTCAGGACAGCTCGGGGAGCTCAGTTTGGGGTTCAGGGTGATTTTAGGGCTCTCAGGGTTATTTTAGGGTCTATTTTAGGGTGTTGACCCCCCGTTTTCCCCCGCAGGAGATGCTGAAGGACGAGATGGGGTTGGGGGGCTCGGGGGGGTTGGAGTAGCTCGGGGGGCTCAGTTTGGGGTCTCAGGGTTGTTCTGGGGCTCTCAGGGTGGTTTTGGGGTCTGTTTTAGGGTGTTGACCCCCCGTTTTCCCCCGCAGGAGATGCTGAAGGACGAGGTGGGGTTGGGGGGCTCAGGGAGGGTCAGGTCTGGGTTCAGGGACTCAGGGGTGGTTCAGGGTTGTTCTGGGGCTCTCAGGGTGGTTTTGGGGTCTGTTTTAGGGTGTTAACCCCCCGTTTTCCCCCCCAGGAGATGCTGAAGGACGAGGTGCGCACCCTCACCTACCGCAACTCCATGTTCCACAACCGGCACCTCTTCAAGGACAAGGTGGTGCTGGACGTGGGCAGCGGCACCGGCATCCTCTGCATGTTCGCTGCCAAAGCAGGAGCCAGGAGGGTCATCGGGGTAAGGGGGGTTTGGGGGTTCCTGGGGGTTTGGGGTCACTTTGTGGGGGGTTGGGGTCAGTTTGGGGGTTTGGGGTCACTTTGGGGTCAGTGTGGGGTGCTGGACGTGGGCAGCGGCACCGGCATCCTCTGCATGTTCGCGGCCAAAGGGGGCCAGGAGGTCATCGGGGTAAGGGGGTTTGGGGAGTTCCTGGGGGTTTGGGGTCAGTTTGGGGGTTTGGGGTCACTTTGGGGTCACTTTGGGGTCAGTGTGTGATGCTGGACGTGGGCAGCGGCACCGGCATCCTCTGCATGTTCGCTGCCAAGGCGGGGCCAGGAGGGGTCATCGGGGTAAGGGGGCTTTGGGGTCACTTTGGGGAGCTTTGGGGTCAGTTTGGGGGTTGGGGTCGGTTTGGGGTCAGTTTAGGTCGGTTTGGGGTCAGTCTGTGGTGCTGGACGTGGGCAGCAGCACCGGGACCCTCGGTCTGTTCATGGCCCAGGGGGGTCTCAGAGCCTGGGGGGTCCCTGGGCTGCGTTTTGGGGGTCCCTGGGGTGGTTTTTGGGGTCCCTGAGCGGTTTTGGGGTCCCTGGGGGGGGAATTGGGGTCCCTGGGGGGGTTTTTGGGGTCCCTGGGGGGGGTTTTGGGGTCCCTGGGGGGGTCCCTGAGCCGTTTTGGGGTCCCCCCCAGATCGAGTGTTCGAGCATCTCTGACTACGCCGTCAAGATCGTCAAGGCCAACAAACTGGACCACGGTGAGACCCCCGGGGACCCCCCCAGGGATCCCCCCAGACCCACAGGGACCCCCCCAGACCTGCAAGTGACCCCCAGGAACCCCCCAGATCCCCAACTGCCCCCAGTTTCCCCCAACCACACCCATGAACCCCCATGCATCCCCCAAACTCTCCTCCCTGGCCCCTGACCCCCAAACCCTCCTGAATCCCCCAACCCTCCTGAGCCCCCCAAGACCCTCCTGACCCCCTCAAAATCCCTGTGTGCCCCCCCAGTGGTGTCCATCATCAAGGGGAAGGTGGAGGAGGTGGAGCTGCCGGTGGACAAGGTCGACATCATCATCAGCGAGTGGATGGGCTACTGCCTGTTCTACGAGTCCATGCTCAACACCGTCATCTATGCCCGGGACAAATGGCTGGTCAGACCCCAAAACCAACCCCAAAACCCTCCAAAACCACCCCAAAAACCCCTGTGATCCCCTGAGCCCCCAAACCCACCCAGAGACCCCAAACCCTCCTCTGTCCCCACTGCCTGTTCTACGAGTCCATGCTCAACACCGTCATCTGTGCCCGGGACAAATGGCTGATCAGACCCCAAAAATAACCCCAAAACCCCCCAAAACCACCCCAAAAACCCCCAGGGTGAAATATCCACCCAAAACCTCCCTGTGACCCCAATTCCCCCCCGTCCCCACTGCCTGTTCTGTGAGTCCATGCTCAACACTCTCATAAATGGCTGGTGGGACCCCCAAAAACCACCCCAAAAGCCCAAAACAACCCTAACCCCCCCCAAAACCACCCCAAAACCCCAAAACAACCCTAACCACCCTCAAAACCACCCCAAAACCTCTCCTGGGCCCCCCAATGACCCTCCCTGTCTCCCCCAAACCCCTCCCTCACATTTTGGGGCCCCTCCTGGGGTTTTTGGGGACCCCTCAGGTTTTGGGGACCCCCTTCAGGTTTTTGGGGACCCCCTCAGGTTTTGGGGACCCCCAGGTTTTGGGGCCCCCTGATCCCTCTTTTTCCCCAGACCCCCGACGGGCTGATCTTCCCCGATCGAGCCACCCTGTACGTGACGGCCATCGAGGACCGGCAGTACAAGGACTACAAGATCCACTGTGAGGGGGCTGGGGGCCCCAAATTTGGGGGGTGGGGGCCCAAAATCTGGGGAGAAGCCCCAAAATCTGGGGAAGGGGTCCCCTAAATATTTGGGGGAACACGGAAGGGTTTGGGGCGTCCCCAGGGCTGGGGAGTTGAGGATGGGGATGAAGAGGAGGGAAAATGGGGGTGGGAATAGGAAGGTTTGGGGGCTCAGAATTTTGGAAGGGCCCCAAAATCTGGGGAGGGGTTGGGGGACTCCCCAAAATTTTGGGGGCTCCAGGGGTCTCTGGGTGGGGGTGAAGGGGGAGGTCAAAGGGGGGGACAAAGGAAGGGTTGGGGGGGGTCCTGGTGGTCCACAGATTTTTTGGGGGGTCCTGAGGGTCCCCAAATTTTTTGGGATCCCCCCCTGAGGCCCCCCCTGTCCTCCCCCCAGGGTGGGAGAACGTTTATGGGTTCGACATGTCCTGCATCAAAGACGTGGCCATCAAAGAGCCCCTCGTGGACGTCGTGGACCCCAAACAGCTCGTGACAAACGCCTGCCTCATCAAGGTACCAAAAATAACCCCAAAATCACCCCAAAATAACCCCAAAATAACCCAGGGACCCCCAAAATAACCCCCAAAATCACCCAGGGACCCCAAACAGCTCGTGACAAACGCCTGCCTCATCAAGATGAGGGGACCCCAAAAATGACCCCAAAAATAACCCCAAAAACGACCCCAGAACAACCCAGGGACCCCAAAAATAACCCAGGGACCCCAAAAAAGGGGCTAAAACACATTTTCCCTGCAGGAGGTGACATCTCCCGGTGAAGGTGGATTTGGGGTATTTTAGGGTATTTTAGGGCTGTTTTGGGGTGTTTTAACCCCGTTTTTCCCCATTTTTCATCCCCAGGAGGTGGATTTAGGGTATTTTAGGATTATTTTGGGTTATTTTAACCCCATTTTACCCCATTTTCTCCCCCCAGGAGGTGACATCTCCACGGTGCAGGTGGATTTGGGGTATTTCAGGGTATTTTAGGGCTGTTTTTGGGTTGGTTTAACCCCGTTTTTTCCCGTTTTTCCCCCCAGGAGTTGGCCATGGGATACTTTAGGATACTTTAGGATTATTTTAGGATTAATCTGGGTTATTTTACCCCCTTTTCTCCCCCCAGGAGGTGGACATCTACACGGTGAAGGTGGAGGACCTGACGTTCACGGCGCCGTTCTGCCTGCAGGTGAAGCGCAACGATTACGTGCACGCGCTGGTGGCCTACTTCAACATCGAGTTCACGCGCTGCCACAAGAGAACAGGCTTCTCCACGAGTGATGAGAGGGTCCTGGGGGGGTTAAAATATCCCTGGGGGGGCAAAAACACCCGGGGGGGTCACCCAAATAACCCCAGGGGGTCACAAACCCCCCCCACTTCAACATCGAGTTCACCCGCTGCCACAAGAGAACAGGCTTCTCCACCAGTGAGAGAGGGTCCTGGGGGGGTTAAAATATCCCTGGGGGGGCAAAAATATCCCTGGGGGGGTCACAAATATCCCTGGGGGGGTCACAAATAACCCCAGGGGGTCACAAACCCCCCCACTTCAACATCGAGTTCACGCGCTGCCACAAGAGAACAGGCTTCTCCACCAGTGAGAGGGGGTCAAAAACATCCCTGGGGGGTTAAAAATACCCCTGGGGGGGCAAAAATATCCCTGGGGGCAAA